TTTTATACGACACAGAAATTGGTATTTTAGTGTAAAGATCAAAGTTAACATAATCGATCCATATAGACTTATAGCGTGTGTATATGATGAGATCATAACCGGAGTAAACCGAGATTTACTTGGTCAAAGAGTGAATAGGTTTGGCATCGTGTGTTCTCCTATGTTAATGGGATTGTCATCCACTACTAACGTGTGGTAGTGTAGGAGTTGGAAGTTACTTTATTTTTTATGTTGCGTATATAAAGCACCTTTGAATTTGGATTAGTTATGAAGGGAAAATTGTTAGAAAGTTCTTGTGTGTATTATGTTCTTGTTGCCATTGTTGGGACCTCCATCAGTATATGCATATATACTATGTACACAAGTTTCGCGGTCGAAAATGATTAGTATAAAACGGGCCAAAACCAAGTTTAGATTGCAAATGATCCACAATGGGTCTAATGATTTCAAGCCTATGCCCCGTACGTAATGACGTATTATTAATATGCTCACTATGCAGAAGCAGTGTAGAGACATTGTTTGCATGCGTTATCATTTAGAGCATGTCCATCAATGAGAACCCCCACAAAGTTTCTAAAACAAAAAAAAAATATTATTTTAGTTAAAATTATTTGTGGAATTAAATTTTTTTTTTTTTTTAAGATTGAGCCAATGGTTGATTGACAATCTCACATGGGTTGTTAGTGAGGTTCTCAAATCTCTTAATCTAGAACTCCTTCTCCTTCTCTCTCTTCTTTTTCTATTTTTTTATTTTATTTTAAATATTAGAACCCCTCCTTAGATACACCAATGTACATGCTCTTAGGCTATAATACAAAAATATAAGGATGGAATCAATATAAACTAATTTATAAGAATATGATTCATAAAACGACAAAATTTATAAGACACCGTCGAAAGCATCAGCCAGAGAGAGATGAAACGGCGAGCAGACCTGAAGTGACCGAGACAAGCCGGCGAGGAAGACCACGGCTAGGTAGATCTAAACCCAAGCTCATTTCCACCTTCAATCTCCGAAACAAGTAGCCGGAGAAGACAACGACACAAAGGGGGTCTTTTTTCCGGCGGAGGTGAGAAACACCGCACACCGAAAATGGAGATCAGAAAAAGTTTTTACGGCAGCTAGGATTTTTTTAGAGAGAAAGGGAGTTGCCTCTCAAAGGCGCTATTGAAGATGTTTTTTTGGAGAATAATCTCATTGGTGTTAGCTCATGAAATTGTGTTTGAAGTCATTCTCACATAACACGAAAGGAGTACATGATCGAAGTCTTCATGGTCATTGCCGTTGACGACCTTTTTTTAGCTTCCATTGAAAAGTTTCTAATGCTAACGGTTTGGTTAAGTTTGGCTTTTCATATGTGTCCCTCAACTATTTGGATCCAAGTACTTAATTATTCATCTACCTTTTTCAATTACATGCTTATCAAAACCGAAGGGAATAAAGGGCTCACTTTTATGATCACGTTCACTTTGATTGGCACAGTGTAATTGATGAATCAGTCATATAATCGCAAACTATATAGCTATTGTGATATGTCATGGTTTTAATGACACCAAGTTTTCGCTTAACATTTATGCTTGCAATTCTGGTCATATTCTATTCCACGTATTTATGTTCTGTTCTTTTAATGATTTTACTAGATTTTGACCCCGCGGCAAGCGCGGAAATAAATAATTTAATAAGTTGACCAATCGATTTTAATATTTTTTTTATATATTTAAACATATGGCAAAGTATATAATTTATACTATCTATAAACGTACAAAAATGATATGTATTGTGCATAAATATAATAAAATTCAACACTTTTGAGCAAACATATGTCAATGCAAGTATTTGAATAGTTTAATGTGTAAAATTAATCAAAACTATGCAAATATTTAAAGTGTAAAATTGATTTTCATTATTCATGTAAATTATAGAGAATACCATAAATCTGATAATGTTTAGATTTATATGGATTATTGGATATAACAAACAAAAAATAATATATGTTTTCTAATAATGAAATGTATAGATATTTGTAATGTGATTAAATATGTAGACTACATCATAAAAAGTTATATGTATAGTGTACTAATCTAAAAATACATATATACACAATAGATAACATTGTTATAAATATGATAATGAAAACTTATCAATATATATAAAAAAAAAGAAGAAGATGAAATGGTAAGTCTAAAATGTTACATTTAGTTGGATTTATATTTTTAGAACATGTATTAATGAGCTTATATTAAATGAGAATATGTAGAGATTTCCACCAAGTCATATAGTTTTAAATGAAATATTATGATTGGTTAATTTAAATTAGGTGTCCCTTGAATTGCTCATTAAGTGACACATAGGTCCCTTGAATTGCTCATTAGTCTGCACGCAATATGTTTCCGATCATAGTACATTATTCAAAAAAAAAAATCCACCGAGATATACATACATTCTAACGGTAGAGTTTGATTGGTTCACCCATTGCCATCCACAAACGCTGCGTTTGCGGGCGGTTGCGGTTGATAGCGTTTAGCACCAATCACGGACACCGGTACATACCGCTTTGTATCGCTCCGTACCGTTAGAAATCAAAAGCTCCTTCCCGCAAGCGTTTGCGGTTTCAAGCGGTAGCGGGTGGTTAAAAACAAAAACAAAAAACAATATCACGTTAGATTAACATGATCCCTACACACCAAAAAAAAAAAACTCTTGTATAACGTTATCAACTCCTATATATCTCTTTCCCCAAAAAAAAAAGGGTTAATTAGCTCAATATTATTTTTGGGATAGATAATTAGTAAACTAACATATCAATAATAAAATTTAGGTAACTAGGAGAGAGATGACAAAAAGAGACGAATATACCCTTATAGAATTTATTAAGGAAAATAGTAAAAAACACTTTAAAAAAATCTCTGAAAATATTTATTTGAAAAAGACAATCCCTAACGTACACCTTTTCATCTACATAAAAAATCTTTGCTATATACAGTTGACTATATTCAGTTTATTTTCATGTTGTTATAGTCAGCTAAAATTATAAACGAAATAGTGAACTATTTCTTTCAGAATGATTGTTGTGATGTTGGGTGAATAGATTTTTTTAGGGATATTAGTTAGCTAGCTATTCGAACAATAATATAGTTCACTATGCAAATTGTAGTTAGCTATTCAAATAATAATATAGTTAACTATATGAACATTACAATAATCAATTGAGTTGTATATCTTTTGGTCTATTGTTATCAATATCTTTAATCAACATAGTTAGCTATTATCTTATTTATGGTCATTAAAATAGTTAACTATGCAAAAGTTAGTTAGCTAGCTATTGAAATAATAATATAGTTCACTATATAAACATTACAATCATCAATTCAGTTGTATATCTTCTGGACTATGTTTATCAATATTGTTGATCAGTATAGTTAACTATTATTCTCACCATTCACCTTTGTTATTAACTAGTTCACGATCAAAACAAAACAACCCCTTGGGTAATTTATGATCTTTCATCTTCGGAGGAAAAGAGAAAAGTGAAGTAGAGAAGATATATGAAATCAGTAAGAATATTTTCACCAGGCAAAGAGATGCAAAAAGAGATGCAAACCCTTAAAGGATTAAAAAGAAAAACGAAGAGAATGTGGAGATTAGAGAAAACATTCATAAAAACATGTGTGACCAGCGAAGATATTGACAAAGAGTAGAGGAGATTGTAAAATCAAGCATGGATCAG